AAGCAGCTGTTTGGCCCATGAAACACAGATGTTACACTTAATTGCTATACACACTGTGACAATGTGTGTGTGTGTGAACACAAGTACAAACGTACATAAACAAAATAAGCATTCATTGGCAGTAGGATACAAGATGCATGCTGGTGGGCTTTCAACCCTAAAGCCCTGCGCTTCTGGCTTTTCAAAACATGGGTCAGAGCAACATGAAAAACCAGGTAAGTTTAATAATAGTCAAAGCTTGAAGTTTGGGTTTTTTTGGAGTACAGTTCCCAGAATCTCCCATCCAGCATGCTGTACTAGTTAGGCCATTGAGCTGTCCCTTTTGGAATCAAAGTACGAAGATCTGTGCTGCATCTCACCAAAGACCAACCCTACAGTATACCCATCAGATGTTTATGGAAATCCCACAGGCAAGATGGGAGCACAAAAGCAGTCTCCTACTTGTGTTTGCCCATACATTGCCACTGGTCTTGGAAGTAATTTATAGACGTCATTACCAGCAACCATTTGGCAGCTATTTGGATTTTTAAAAAACTGGTCACAATGCAAAGGCAGATGCAAAGCAGCCAGGCCCTTTTTGCTTTCAAAACAGAACTGTTTTCCCTGTTGTTGGGGGTTTCTATTTTTTTTCAAGCCAGAGCAATTAAGTGTTTTCACTGTGTGATCAATTTCTTGTTTTTCTAAAGGCCAGGGTATGCAACTGTGGTGCTTTCCTGGTGACATACTAAGCTGAGCATGATATTTTGGGGCAGTGAGAACACCCAGGCCTGCAATCTTTTTCATTAGTTGCTCCAAAGTTTTTTTTCCTAAAACAAACTGAGTTTAGTATGAAATCACCTTACCACTGCATTGCTATGTTAATTTAGTGCTAGTTAGTTAGTTAGTTAGTTAGTTAGTTAGTTAGTTAGTTACGCATCCTTCAGTCTCGAAAGACTATGGTAACGTGCTCTGTATGGAGGACTTGGAACAGTGTCTAGTGAGGCCTATTCGAGAATGACAATCCCTTAGTGCTAAATGCCCTTAATAAAGACGATTTTTAAAAATAAAAATTGTTATGACTCTGATGAGCTGCAGCTGACTATTATGCTTCCACGGTATGTGTGTATGTGTTTGTACATCTTTGGAAAACTATCCCTTTTCCCTAATGCCATGCAATGCTTTAAAAAGCCCAGTACTGTAGCTTTAAAGTGAACCAAAAAAAGTACAGCTGAGGATTAGCAGATCAAAAGAAGGGGAGCTGTGGGCTGTAGCAGGGATCGAATTGCATCAGATTGAGAGGCCAGTGTGGACATGGACACTGAAACAATTTGTGGTCTTCATGAGATCATCTAACCTGAACAGACGTGTAAAATAGGTTGCGAATCAAGCAGCACCAAAGCCAAATTGCTCTGACTTAGTAGAAGCTGAACTTTCCGACTTTTTTAGACTTTGGTGTCTAAAAGCTCAGCGGGGGGCAGTAGCAGCAACCTCAGAACCATTCCTCTTGAGCTTTCAGGACTCTGCCTTTTATTGGAAGCCTCTGCCACAACAGCTAATTGGCCTAGGTGCGCCCCAAGGCCTATCCTACACCCCATACACGAGTTTGCTGCTCACAGACATGGTAGAAGGAGCTGCTGTATCCCATTGCCAATGCTGGCAGTGAGGTTTATTAGCCCAGACTGTTTTTGTACAAGGAATATAGGCAATGTATCATCTTGTCCTTTTTTTCTCAGACACTAAAATGGCTTGGGCCAGCCTTGCTCTGATCCCACTTAGTCCCTTCTGCTAAAACACACTCCCCACCCCACCCACACCATTTTAACTATCAATGTCTAACATTGACTTTCACCCTATCATGTTAAAATATAAGGATAGGCTCTGACTATATTAACAAAAAAAATCCTGCTTTGTATCAAGTGAGAGAAAATTGTGCAAACCCAATTATTTATTTAAACTCTGGTGTGGGGATGGGTCACTACAGTATGCAAAATATGGATTTCCACAGAGAACACTCTATTCCAATCAATCCAGTCTTTAAAAGGTGCAAGAAAGAGTCATGACCTAAATACTGTACAGTACCTATGCTATTTTATTGAATTCCAACATTCTGCACAAGATTTATTATATTTACTTATTTATTTATTCTATTGACCAACTGCTCTCACCATCATAAATACTACCAGATTTATTGGAATATGTTGTCGCTGACGGATCTATATTTTACAGAAGGGTGGACAGACCTCAACCTTGCAGAATCTACTTTCTCTTCTCTCATTTGATGACCATTCTTAACTCTTATCTGTTGCAAAACAGTAGCTAGGGAATCGGTGGAGGCCTACTTTTGTTATGGGTTGAGGACAAGGGAGGATCCCTCTGAACAAATGCTTAGCATCCAGGATCTGTTTCCCGTCAGTACCCCTTCTAACTTCAAGCCGCTCCTCCTCCAAATCCTAGCCCAGCAGATGCTTTGGATGTGAAGCTGAAGAAGCCTCTGCAGACCAGCCAATGGTAAAAGACCTCGGAAGTGGTAATCACAATGGCAGTCAGTGTCCATCAGGAAGCAGGAGGTGGGCAATGCTCCATTTCCCCAAATGGATTGGCCTCCACTAGCTGCACTCCAAAAGATGGGGTGAGCCTAAAGTTCATCATCCCTGCCACCTCGCTGGCAGTGGCAGGGAGACTTTTCGTTACCCATATCAGAAAACAAAGTCAAAAGGCCTTATTGATCATAAGGATATCTGTCATTAGATCCCAATCTACCATCAGCCCATTTCTGACACAGCACATAACAGGCTTTCTGGAATAAAATTAAGATAAAAGTTTCTGTTTTATTTCATGTGTGTTTGAAAGACAGAGATGGAAAAATTCAACACTGGCTAAGCTGCCAGTGTTGACTTTTATGATAGGAACTGCAGATCAACAACATCTGGAGGGTCATATGCTCTCTCCTTTAGTCAATGGCAATCCCAAGCAGCCAGAATGTGTTTTGGGCACGTGCTCCTATGGTATACCCTGTCAATACATAGACACTGTAGCACCAGTAAATGTCATGCTGATTACAAGCTATGGCTACTTTGCACCATTGACACTCGTATCCCTAGCTTGCCTTTTTAAAATGTATCACAATGATAGGACTTGAGTTTGTTTAGCACATGTGAAGAGTTGACTCAAGTAAACTCTTTGGAAAACCAACTCAATGCCTGGCAGTAGTATGGCACATATAACATCAACACAGATGGACAAGATCATACAGCTTTCACATGTTTACTGTGTTGAGTGGCTGGACACACCACTTTGCTCTCTGAAATTAAAACAGCAAAATGAAACCTACCATACCACTCCCAGTTACGTTTGTGAACCATAGTATTTTAAAGCAGCCTTCCCAGACTGTTATGAATTCAGATCCTCCTAGCATCCCTTGCAGGTGCAGATGATGTGACTTTTCCCTAGTGCCCTTGCTAAGTCACCTGGTGGTAAACAGAAATGCAAAACGGCATTGCCTCTTGTTTTTTTCCTTATCTTTCCATTCTATTGAATGTGAAAGGGAGAATGGCATATGATGTGACTTTTCCCTAGTGCCCTTGCTGAGTCACCTGGTGGTAAACAGAAATGTGAAATGGCATTGCCTCTTGTTTTTTTTTCTTATCTTTCCATTCTATTGAATCTGAAAGGGAGAATGGCACAGCAGAACTGGGTAACCCACAGTCCACAGGATAAATGGAAAAGCCCTTTGCAAGGGATCCATTCAGACCAAAGCTTGGTGATCTTTGTGTCAAAGCAAATTCATGAATTCAGAATTCAAACATTAATTCATTAGCATTCATCATTTAAGTCAAACTTGTAAACTTAGTTTACTGTATTCATCGTTTTAGCAATGGTTTGAAATGTTTTTTTAAAAAAATATGCTTAAAAAGCTGAGTTAGAATTAAAATAACATGAAGTGCTAATAATTATTAAACATGTTAACATCACTACCATTTGACCATTTCTATGACTTTAAAAATTATTCTTAAAAATGTCTGTAAAATTTCACTGAATTAGGTGTTAATGAATAATTTCTTAATGAATGATTTCCAAGCTATGGTTCAGACCACTGACAAGGAAAAGCTGACCACTCCACCCACCAGGGAGGAAAAGAGTGGCAAAAACAGGACGGAGAGGGTGGCCATGCCCACCTTTATCTTTGTCCCCAACAATAAATCAGAGGTGTGAAGAAGTTACTTTCCTGACTACAACACTCAGAATCCCTTATTGAGCATGGCTGATAGATATACTGGCCAGAGGATTCTAGGAGTTGTAGTTCAGGAGAAAGTAACTTTACCCAGCGGTGCAAATTCAGCAGGAAAAAAAGGATTCTCAGATCAGAGTTAGGCCAAGAGAAATCAAAACTGGGAGTAGTAGATTCATGTTCTCTTACCTGTCCAAACACACAGTATTTATACATCATAATATTCATAACTGCCACAGCACTGTGCAGCCCAGAAAGTGCTTTACAATTCTTACTTCACTGTTGGCATCCTGGAAAGTAAGTAATTTCAGTCTCTGTTTTACAGAATGGGAATGGAGGCTCTCAGACAACAGCACCCCTATTAACATTAACAACAATATTATGAATTGCGCAGTATCCTACCCTTCTTCCAGGGAAAGTATGTCGCCATACAACAGGTTTTCACCATTATATTCTCACAACAACCCTGCTAAGTAGGTTAAGCCGAGAAATAGTGATATGTTCATCTGTTGAGATTGGAACCCAAGTCCAAACCAGTGCTTTATCCATTATTATACCACACTGGTTTTCTTCAGGGTTGACTATTTAATATGATCACCCCTCCTAGGACCAAAATTGCAGCTACTGTATATGGGAAATGAAACAATTAAACCATCTCTGGTGGAGAAGTGTTTCATGTGCAAACTTCCCCCATTTTCTTCTTTCAATAGCTTTGTCCTTCACAGGTAAGAATAATTTTGCATTTGTATCTTCCCCAGTTTCACAAAGGATATGAACTTGCACAGACACACAGTCACTCACACAGAACATCTTTAAATAAGAGGAATGTGGCGAATAAATACTGTACATAGAAGCCCACTTCCCAACAAAGGGAAGAAGGTAGATAAATATGTCTCCTGCTATACAGATAAAACCATCTTGGGAAGGGAAGGAAGGGGAGGACACAAGAGTCACAAGCTGCCGCCTTTGCAGTGATGCAAATCTATCCTCGTGATTCCAGGGATCTATGGAGACAAAACAGAGAGAGAGAGAGAGAGAGAGAGAGAGAGAGAGAGAGAGAGGTTACTAATCATGAAAGCAATCAGGGAACAAAAAGAAATTCTCCTTTTTCTCAAGACAGGAACAAGTATTGAAGGCTCCGTTTTGGAACAGCAGCAGAACCCAAAAAAAGGTTGCCATTGTTGTTGTTGAACTACAAAGGCCAGAATCTCCCAGACAGAATTTTTGTAGCCCAACCAGTAACTTTTGCAAAGCTCTGATTTGAAGCTGATTAATTTGATGGTCTCTGCAAAGGGGGAAGGGATTTACCATGCCACCAGCACCACAACTGTGTCAGTTGTGAGGCATCACAATTAGCTTCAAAGGTCCCTCTGCCGGAGCCAACTGTTTTTTGTATTTGTGCATAGATCTCTCATATTGGGCAGATTTCAATACAGTACTCATATTTTAGACACAAAGCTGGGAGCTGCAGAACTGTTTTATTGCCTGTTCTGGACAAAGTATGTGCTAGACATGGGGCCCCCAAATAACTTCATATCTGTCTCAGCAAACCTGATGGTAGGCTATTGATTCAGGGTGCAACTACACAGTCGGCAAAATGCAAATATTGTTATATTGTACCCTGAAAGCTGGGTTCCCTTGAGTGAATTTGCTTTAGATGACCACACAGGAGACAGCAGATAGGAGAAAACCTGCAATCAGTCTTGTTTGCAGGTTCTTAAGGTAGTTCTGCTGTGACTGTCCAGATTTGCAGGTGGCATGGCTAAAGTAGAGCTAGCTTAATAAGCTACAAACAAGGGCTGGCTGCCAATTTCTTCTTTTCTGAGTTCTGTCCGCTCAGCTAAAGCACACAGACATTTACCAGCTGGTCCTATAAACTACAGTTGATTGCCAATTTCCTCCTCACACTTTCTATGGTTCCCAAGGTGTCCCAGCACAGCATCAGTGGTACCAAGTATTTTTTTAAAAACTGGTTTGGAGAAAAGAGGTGCTCAGTTAAAGGGAACTGGCACACGGGATGCAAGGGTGATGGAGTTGGAGGGTCCAATGACCCTTTTATGCATTGATAGGTATTGTTTGGGCACACAAACATGCCTTACATGTACATCTTTGGCCTCAGATACCAACTTGTGGATCTTGGGGTTATTTAAAAACAAAAAACATCCCTCTCCCCAATATGTATATTCAAGCACTGGGAGAAAAAATGCATTTGTGGATTTAATTCAATCAGACTCAGTATTCTGTTCCCAACAAACGTCCCTATACGTTCAAAAGCTGGGCTATGCCTTGCTGCTTACTTCCTAGCATACAGTCCCTGGTCTCAGTGTAATATTCCTTCCAAGTGTATAAAAGGAACCAATGGGTTCCATAGTATGGTTATTAGGAATAACCTTAAAAACTACTGATTCGTTTCATTCGCTCAGGAAGAATACAGTGGCACCAGTCTCTGGGAAGCCACTATTCAGAACATCCCAATTTACAGTTTTCTCTTACGAGTAGCTGTTGTGCTGCTGCCGGCGCCGCGCTGTCCGCATCTTCTCAAAGCGTGCCTCCATTTCTTCAAGTACTTTGGGTGTGTAGCGCACCACCAGCTTCACAGTCCCTTGTGCTGCTTTCAGAAGTTCCACAGCTCGTTCATGTTGCTCCCCTTCCACACTCTGTAAGAGAAAAGGCAAAAATGCAATATGGTCACAACAAGAAGTCAATTTCCTGCCGCCAGCTCCTTAAGTTCATCCCATTCTTTCTCATTACAGCTTGTGCCAGTGAAAAGCAGTTAAGTCTGCCTTCTCTTTTCATTAACCTAATATACAACTGGGGTACTCAGTGTGGTGTGGTGGATACAGTGACAGACTAGGACTCAGGAGACCTGGGTTTGAATCCCTGCTCAGTCATGGAAACGGACTGGGTGGGGTGTGGACTGGTAAACCACTCTTTAAATATCTCATTTACTGTACTTTGAAGGTCCTGTTATGGCCCCTACAGGTCGAAACTTGAGAGCGCTATGATAGAATTATGATCTGCAACACAATACTGCACTGTGGAGGACTCTGATTCAGGTTTCTGTCAATCTTGATCTCTATCAGTACAGTGGTGCCTCGCTTTACGATTGCCCCACATTACAACGAATCCGCTTTACGACGATCGTTTTTCCAATTGCAATTGCAATCACAAAACGATGGTCTAAATGGGGGAATTTTGCTTTGCAATGATCGGTTCCCTGCTTCGGGAACCGATTCTTCGCAAAACGACGATTTTTAAACAGCTGATCGGCTGTTTCAAAATGGCCGCCGGGTAAATAAAATGGCTCCCCGCTGTGTTTAGGGACGGATTCCTCGCTATACAGGCAGCGAAAATGGCCGCCGTAAGGAGGATCTTCGCTGGACGGTGAGTTTTAAGCCCACTGGAACGCATTGAAAGGTTTTCGATGTGTTTCAATGGGCTTTTTATTTTTGCTTTATGTTTTCGCTTAACGTCGATTTTCCTGGAATGGATTATCGCCGTTAAGCGAGGCACCACTGTACACTCTATTTCCTCTTTTCCTCTAAAAATCACTCAGCATACTGGACATGCTGAGTGCCCACTGAATTGTTTTTTGGAGCGGGGACTGTCTCTCATTTTTTAAGACTTTTTTAATATTTCTCCAACACTGTGGTTGTGGACACACCCTCTTGTGCATTGATGGTGCAACAAGTGATTAGGGGGTCACTCCATAGATGGATGGCTACTGGGAGCTCCCCCATGTAAGTATTTGCTTATAACTCTGACTGGCTTCACTATTAATATATAAGATTTCCTTAGCAATACCACCAGCTAGTAAACAGCTTTGGGACCTGGATATTTGGAGAAACACCTTTCTCTACACAAACCTGCCTGAATTTTCTGAGGAGGTCATCCTCTGAGTCCCCGATTGAGAACAGTTCATTATGCAGATATGGGAGAGAATTTTCTCAGCCACAGCACCCCAACTGTGGAATGCCCATCCTCTGGAGGCTCAATTATCATTGACATCATTTCAGCACCAAGTTAAAACATACATTTATTAGAATCTTTGGGGGTTGAGGATCATAGCCTGTGCAGGTTTTAATACAATGGTTTTAATGATTTAATGTTATATTTTTAGCCATTTGATTTTAAAGTGTTTAAAACATCTTATGTTGTACCCTGGAAGCTGGGTGGATACACCCTCTTGTGCATTGATTAAAACGTCTTATGCTTTAAAATGGTCTAATATGGTTCTGTAATCTACCCTGAGATCCTGTGATATACGGCAGCCTGTAAACATTTTAATTGAATAAATACATTTAAAATGTTCTTGTGGACATGAGACAGCAACACCACAACTCATGTGATCATTTCTATCACCCTCTCCATCAGCAGCAGGAAACTTCTGGCACTCCAGGCAGTTGGCTTATAACTCCCATCAACAGATTTAGCATTCAGTAATGCAAGGATGGAAATTTGTCTGGCTTTGTAAGCTACATGAAAGGATAACTTCTTATAGAAATAGCTACATATAGCCCTCAAGGGGAAAAAAAAGGAATTCAGCCCAAGTGAGGCATTGGTTGTTCAATGCTTGTTATTTTCAATACAATATGTCCTTTTCAAGGTGGGCAGATGCAGTCTACTGAGTTGCGTGTGTGTGTGTGAAAACGGAGAGCCTCTAGTTCCCTGCCAGCTGCCGATTTCTGCAGTGAGGGACTGGGTGAGTAGGAATTAGAGAAGGGCATGAATCGGTTCATTCTGGTTCGTAAAGGCAGCAGTACAGGGGCTGCGGCTTCTCCCCCCTCTGGCTCAAACAGCCACTCGCCAGGCCCAGCTGGCTTGTTTTTTTCCACCTCCCTGGCTAATCTCCCAGTCAGGAGCAAGAGCACAGACTTCTCTGCCCGACCCCACTCAGTGGGAGATCAGCCAAGAGGGCAAGGCAGAGAAGCCTGAGCTGTTGCCAGGACTGGAAGATCAGTTTAAGGAGGTGCAGGAAGAGAGCATGCTGGGCCTGGTGAGTGGCTGACTGAGTCAGAGGAGGCGGGAGAGGAGAGTAGCAGCGCCAGTGGTGCTGCCTTTACGAACTGGGACAAACTGGAACGAACAAGTTCATGCCCATCTCTAGTAGCAATCCAGACATATGAAGAGCTAGGTAAAGGTAAAGGTTCCCCTTGAAAATTTTTGTCCAGTCGTGTTCGACTCTAGGGGGCGGTGCTCATCCCCGTTTCCAAGCCATAGAGCCAGCGTTTGTCCGAAGACAGTTTCCGTTGTCACGAGGCCAGTGCAGCTATACACAGAACACTGTTTTACCTTCCCACCAAGGTGGTACCTATTTCTCTACTCATATTTACATGCTTTCGAACTACTAGGTTGGCGAGGAGCTGGGACACAGTGATGGGAGCTCACTCCGTCACATGGATTCGATCTTATGACTGCTGGTCTTCTGACCCTGCAGCACACAAAGGCTTCTGCAGTTTAGCCCGCAGCACCACCACGTGTGGGCCTTTAGCTCTTCACGTATGAAGAGCTAAAGGCTCCCAATACCCACATTAAACAGTATTTGAGCTGGAAACTACCAAATCAATGAGAAATTCTTAGAAAAGTAGAAGGATAAATTAGGTGCTTCCTTGCTGTATGAACACATCTATAACATAAATTAATATAAATATTTTCATGTGCTTTCTATGAAAACGATGTATTTATCAGAGTTATAACCATACATAGAAGAGCTCCTAGTAGCTATTCATCCAAGGAGTGATCCCTAATCAAGTACTCCCAAATCACTTACAGGGCCCACCTATTCTATCCTGGGCTCAGCATCAGCAAATACAGTAACACCTTTAGGCTATCACTGGGACCCAGAGCTCCATCAGGCCTTACCAGCAATAAAGGTTCCACCTTTAATTACACCATCACTGATTACTGAATGGCGGCTCAGTGCCATGTTAGCTTCCCACAATGTCTCCAACACAGCCTCATTCTGAGGCTCATTCTCATTGCAGGAAATGAAAACCATGGTCCCTGATTTTCCACAATGCCTCAGAGTGATGATATATCAGGAGCATTATGAAATGATCAAAAGGCAGCTTCTACAGACCTGGTCACCTGGTGCTGATATGGGGCATGGCAACCTGTCAGTGCCTCCAAGTTAAGCCTAACAGGGCCACGTCATAGAAAGCAGCCTATTAGAGGATGGCTGGGGTATTCCTTAAGCACCAAATGGGTCTTATTTGACAATCCACATTGGGGAAATCCTGGCTGAAAGACATTTGAGGGCTTGCCAAAGGACGTACAAAGTGGGGTCTCGACTTACGAACTTAATCCGTATTGGAAGGCAGTTCTCAGGTCAAAAAGTTCTTAAGTCGAATCTGCATTTCCCATAGGAATGCATTGAAAACCATTTAATCCGTATCTGCTCTTTTCGTCCATAGAAACTAATGAGAAGCTGCTATTCAGCGCCACTAGAG